TGCAGGGTCGCAAGCCGCGAGTTGGCCACCCCTATACTATGGGAATCTTCTGTTAATTTTTACAGCTTTAGCTACTGGTTCTTCAAAATCCACTTTGCCCCTTTAATTTCCTTCATATACTGCATGCTGCAATTCATGTTCTTATTTGTGGGCTTCACCTGGATCAGATTACTAAATTTTAAACAGATTTATTGGCTTGAATAGACTTTTAGACCTGGAAATTTAGCATACTGTTTTACTCCTTGCTTTCCTGGCTTCCATTTTGCTCAGCAATATGCATAGGTTATTAAGCTCTTCTTGGTTTTGTTTCATTTTAGTAAGGCATTTGATACAGTTTGGCATGACCTTCTTACCAATAAACTAGGCAAATTCAACTTAGATGGAGGTACTATAAGGTGGATGCATAATTGGCTAGATAACCGTTCTCAGAGAGTACTTATTAATGGTTCACAATCCTGCTGGAAGGGCATAACAAGTGGGGTTCCGCAGGGATCTCTTTTGGGACCAATTCTTTTCAATATAGAATCATAGGAAAAGACCTCAGGAGGTCATCAAGACCAGCCCTCCCTCTCCCCGCCCAAAGCAGAACCAATCCCAACTAAATCACCCAGCCAGGGCTTTCAAGCCGAGACTTAAAAACCTCTAGGGACAGAGATTTCACTACCCCTCAGGTAACCCATTCCAGTACTTCACCAGCACGGAAGGCTTAGGCTGGACATTAGGAAAAACTTTGTCAGAGTGGTTAAACACTGGAATAAACTGCCTAAGGAGGTTGTGGAATCTCCATCTCTGGAGATATTTAAGACTTCTAGCTAACCTGCTCTATGAGGGATGGCCTAGACGGTACTGTGTCCTGCCGTGAGACTTTCAAGGTCCCGTCTAGTTCTACTGCTCTATGATTTTTTTAAGTAACATCCATGCCATCTCAAAGATTTTACTTCTTTTACTTTTAATTTATGGGCTTTTTTTTACTAGTCTGCATTTATTGAAGTTTCCCTTTCTAAAGTTCATTGTCCCTTTTAAATAATAGTTTGATACAGTTATTAGTCTTTGAACTTCACATGTATGATAGACTATTTGTAAATTCTTGAAATAAACAGATAAGTACAGTTTTACTGCATTTTCACTTTTGTGAAGTGCACAGGACTCCATAGACCTTCTAAGGAGCAGCCGAGTGAGGTTTCCCTCTGTGCACCACACAAAGCATGCAGTAGCCCTTATTCAAGCCTTCGTACCCTGCAAGTACAGGCAGTCCCCGGGTTACGCGCGTACTTACGAACGGGGCTTTTCTCGCCCCGGAGGACGCGGGCGGCGGGACCGCCCAGACACACCGCGGTCCCGCCACCCGCGCCTCCAGGGCGAGAAAAGCCCATTCGTAACTGCGGATCCGACGTAAGTCAGATCTGCGTAACTCGGGGACTGCCTGTATACATCACAACTTGGCCAGTAACAATGGGCAACTTCTGAGTTCCTAACTAGAGAAGAGTTCAGCTCATGTGGCAACCCTGTGCTTTGGATTTCCCTATGCCTCTAGCTACTAAAAACTGGGAATAGGCGATGGGGGATGGCTCATGCAAAATTGCCCCGTTCTGCTCATTCTTACTGAAACCTCTTTTATTGTCCATGGTCAGAAGAGGGGGTTCTGGGCTAGATGGAGCATTGGTCTGACTCAGTATGGCCGTCCTTGTGTTTTTGAGTGTTAAGCTCAATCCCAGGCGTCCAGATTCAGCTGCTGTTGAAACTGATCAGCGGCTGATTTCAGGAAGCCCGGGGCAGAGAAACTCTGCCTCGGGCTGCCTGTAGTCAGCCGCTGGTCAGTTTCAACAGCGGCTGAATCTGGACGCCAGTTCCGACTTACATACAAATTCAACTTAAGAACAAACCTACAGTCCCTATCTTGTACGTAACCCGGGGACTGCCTGTACACCAAAGTTCAAAAGAACTAGTGAAAATGTGCTAAAACATAATTACATTAATTTTGTAGCTTACTGTCTCATCCCCTAAAAATTACAGTCTAGGATGGCTGTGCTTATAGGTGAAAAAAAATATACAGGACATGGATGACAAAATAACTATATATCAGAAATAACATAAATACAACCACATTATGTCAAAACAAAGATCCATCTAGCCCAGTATCCTGTCTTCCAACAGTGGTCAATGACAGATGCCCCAAATGGAATGAACAGAACAGGAAATCATCAAGTGATCCATTCTCTCATTCCCAGCTTCTGGGAAACAGTGATTAGGGACACCATCCCTGCCCATATGGCTAACAGGAATGTAAAATCCCTTTTAGCTGGTTAAACATAACACTAACACTGCATTTAACCATTGAACCAATTAAAGTGGTGTGGGTGGGGGGGCTGCCACCATGGTGGCTGCGCCACCCCCGTTGCAGGGGCTGCTAGCTCAGCTCATGGCTGGGCCACAGGCTGGGGCTGCTCCCAAGTACCAGTTAACCATTACCCGGTTACATCCCTAATATACCAGAGCATACCCAGTAAAGATCACCTGTTAAGCTTAAGTTACTTGTTAATAGTCACATAGGAGGCAAATGAATGAACTGATGTAACAACTCATATCTTCCAACTCCAAGACCTGTACTTTAACAGCTAGATGGCAATACTTCATTTCATTACACCAATAATCAAACAGCAGCATTACAAGGACAGGAACTAAAATAGATCTGCTTCCTGCTTGCATTGACTTCACTAGGACTAGGACCGAGCCCAAGGATAGATAATTCACCCTTAAAGTCAATTATTAAAAATGTATCTAAACCTACTGCTTGTTCATTCTGGAATGGTTTCCTTGATATTTTATGACAGCTCAGACAGCCAAGATCTTCCACTATCACGACTAATAAGCTGGATATGAATAATAAGCTTGGAATGCCATAAGGGCAGGGGACTGGATTTGATGACCTCTCAAGGTTCCTTCCGGTTCTAGTATCTATGATTCTATAATAAAACTAATCTTCCTCAGAGCAAAAATTGGTCTAAAACATTAGTTTACCCTCTGTTCTTTAGCAGTATTTCAACTATAATAAAAAATATACCCCCTAAAGGTTGTACATCCTCAGACCTTACCTATGAATTTTTCAGTTGTCACCTCTCGTGTTCCCTGATCCCCATACACCCCTCTCAGGTTGTTAATTAACCCTCTGATTTCTTGACTCTCTGTGAAACTCTCCAATATATTTCCACTGGCAATGACATCTGGCTCCTGGCATCCGCTTTGCTCCTCTTCTGAGCCATCGCCTTCCATCTCACTCAATGCCATTTCCAAAACCAGCAATCAATTCTTCCCTGGTAACATAAGAACAAACAATACTTCAACCCCACATCACACATCAGGTAGAGTAAGATGAAAGAATAATCACCACAACCAAATCAACACCCCACACCAGGATACGGAGGAGGACTAATAGAGGGGCCACCATGACCCCAAAAATCCAATATAGGGGGCAGGATTGAAAGAGAAGTCTCCATACATTGGAATTTAACAGAGGTCACAAACTCATCACCCATGGGCCATCTACAGCTACAGCTTTTTCACATTCTGGCTTGGGAGTCTGTGTGGCCCAAAGAAGGCATGTCCCATAAACCCTATCCCCATCCCAATTCCATCCCTTCCCTTCCAAATCGCTTTCCTAGAGCAATGCAGCCTTGGGGATAAAGATATTAATTATCAGGTAATTGACTACTCGAATAGTTGATTCATATTTTCACTGACTATTCAATTAGTCCAGCAGTTCTCAAACTTTCTGAGCTCTGGAGCCCTTTACATGCATAAAAATTAATGCAGAGCCCTAGCTGTCTTGTATGTGTTGTACCTATCGATGTTTCCAGTTTGTCAACCTCACAGAGCCCCAGGGCTCTGCAGAGCACAGTTTGAGAAACACTGGGTTAGTCGATAAGGCACCTCCACCGTTGAAGCTAGCAGCCCACATAGAGAACGGGGTCAGTGGGGGAGCCTTCAGCTGATCCCGGGCTCCACACAGCGCTGCTGCTTTGAAATGCCGGTGGCATTCAAAGTGGCAGCGCTGCGCTGCAAGGAACAGTTGACCCCAGGCTCCATGCGGCGCTTCTGCTTTTAAGTACCCCCCCTCTTCTCCCTGCCCTATTTGATAGAGGCAGCAAGGGAGGAGAGAAGCGACTAATAGACTATCCTGTCGACTAGTCCTTCACATCCCTACTGGGGGGCTCGCCCAGGGCAGTAGCTCCGCTCCGCTCCCCTGCTCTCCAGCAAGCACGGTGACTACAGAGGGCCCGACCCCTGCTGTGCCCAGTGACAGATCTGCCCCCCGCAGTAATTCCAGGAGCCTCATCCCTCGGGGGAGGGGACCTGGCGAAAGGCCCTGCTCTCCAGCAAGCACGGTGACTACAGAGGGCCCGACCCCTGCTGTGCCCAGTGACAGATCTGCCCCCCGCAGTAATTCCAGGAGCCTCATCCCTCGGGGGAGGGGACCTGGCGAAAGGGGTACTA